ACCAATGCGTCCTCTCAGTTATGACCTATGGATCAGAAACATGGACTACGACCAAATGATGATATATATATATATATATATATATATATATATATATATATATATATATATATATATATGTATATATGTACATATATATATATATATATATATATATATATATATATATATATATATATATATATATATACACACATACATACATACACACCACAAATTACCACAGACATCGTACTTTGCAAATTACATAAAAAACACATTGAACATAATGTAAGCAATAACTATTACAACTGATGCTAAATACATTTACAAACTGTTTGCACATATTGGTTTCACAAGCCTAGGCCGTTGTATATATACTATGCAAGTTGACTGTGCTAATTTACTGCAACTATGTAGTGCTCTCTTTGTGAGAGGGTGCAGGCAATGGTTGGAGGTGCTCTGACTTTACTTGCTCTAATTCTTACAAGCTTCTAAAGAAGAAAAATAGGCAAGGATTGGCTTCTGAAGATGTTCACTTCCTTTATTCTGTCATACTGGAGCTACTCCTGGAGCCATGAATCTGGTTCAACTACATGAAAATTAACAAATTTTATGGTCAGCTATTTTCCAACTCAAGTAGGTTCACACCAAACCTCAAACTAAGCTCCATATCCCAATGTTCTAGGCCTTCCCTGAGTCTCGGAACTCTCATTTATTTCATAGTTCTTACTTTCTTGCTCCTTCCTCTTCTCCCCTCCCCCTACTCCTTCTTGAGAAGGCTGAAACTCTTTCTAATCCTTCCAAAAAAAACTTTTTTTTTCCAAAACCATAAGGAAAGCGGAACACCAACATGTGTCCACCTATCTCATAAAAACCGTTTGAAACAACCCTAAAGACTGCTTAATTCTTTAAATCCGCAGATATGATACCACGGTAGCCACAGCCTTGAAAGACGACAGGAACACTATTCTAACCGAACGAGCCAGAACACAAAAGACGATTACTCGACAATCATTTCCATTCTGTTTTCACACATGAAGACTCGCCTTGTCACTTAGTTGTGACAAGGCGAGAACGATCGAAACGGCTACGGAAGGAAACTTTGTCTCCTTGTTTTTGGAGCCATTTGTTGAATGAGTGGAATATTATCGGAAGAAGGATCTGTAAGAGGAATCACAAAAAATCGATATCACTTGGCTAGGCTAAAAAGAGTACTCAAAAGGTTTGTACAGGGTCAGAATCACATACTTATTGACATCAACAGATAAAAATACTTCAAAACATAGCACACAGCCACAAGTTTCTTACATATCACACCGACACCCACTCTTACAAGCACTCATTCTTCCCACGGACCATATGCGACTTGAATAGATTACCATAGTACATTATAGAAACAGGAACACTTAAAAACTTCACATAGAATAAACAAACATGGAACAAAGCAATACCCTGCACGAACACAAACGCCTCCACTTGCACTCGAATCCTTTCCCTGCCCTCAACAACTAACCACATATGCGTGATATGCGGTAAAAGCGCCCAACGCATCATAAATTGGGATTAAGATGAGATACTTTTTAAGAGACTGAAATGAGTATATATCTAGAGAGTAATACAATAAGGCTATACTTTAAATGCAACATGACACTTCCTTGATTCTTGATAAGTAAAATATTGGTAAATTTGGAGGAGACGCCCCACACCGAGTTTTCGATGAACGGTTTTCCAATAGTTTTCCTCATGTTCCGAGGAAAACTAATTTCCTTAGCAAACGAAGCACAACTACGATATCGATCCTGATAGCTGGGGAGGGTATATAGGGTATATAGGGTGGAAATTTCGAGAAATATCGGTAATACACGGAGGAGAACAACATATCCATTCGCTTCTAGGTTATATAGGGGGCTTCGCCTTAAACACCTTTTTTTTTTTTTTTTTTTTTGAGGGGGGGGGTTCTGCCCCCCACCCACAGTCTGGTCCACAAAATCTTCACCTCATATGTTCCAGCAGGATAGAGCCCAAACCCAGCAACAGTACCCACACATTACTTTAAACATTAAACTCCAGACGGGCCAGGCTTCGGGTCACTGGGATTGTCGGGGTCCTGGTCGTTGTTAGCGGGATTCGTGATTGCTCTCCGACGTTCTTTATCGGACAGCGGAGGGAATAGTTTCGTGGCCTCGGTGAAGAGCTGGTGATGGACTACATCCGGTTTATACTGGCGGAGAAAAAGATATCGAGCAAGGTATTGTTTGTAGAATTCTTGCCGATTACTTGGTTTCTTGCTCCACTCATTTACGTCTCGCAACAACCGCTCAGTGTTCTGGGTGTGAATGATCTATTTCATATCTGACTGGTTCTATTGTCCTGGACGTCACTGTATATGGTCACGTCACGTTCCAGCGCAACTCTAATTGGCTCAGTTGATTTCCCTCGCTTACGTCATTCGTTACGAATCCGTCCGAGATTTCGACGGTTTCAACGACTTTTTGTCAATTTGTCGTGACGCTGTAGGCAATTTGCAAAGAAATTGTTATAAAAGAAAACTTTCATAGAATGGTGTGTTTTTTGGGTGTGGGGTGTCTCTTCCAATAATACCAAAATATTTTTCAGATATGCCTAAAGTCTTTTTTTCTAATTAAGACGGATACCTAAAAAGAAGAGTGGGAGTAAGAGGGCTAATATTTAAAATATTATAGTTACCCCTCCAGAAGTAATTTTCTTTTATTTCATCTGTTCACACAGAAAGTCTAGGGGACTGAGCGATTTCATACTGAAAGGGGATACGAAACTATTGTGCGCCGTAACTACAGGTTTAGATATTAGGAATCGGCATTACTAACGATTAATAGTCAAAACAAAAAGTGTGCTAGACATCAAGTTACATACCATTATCGTGGCGAAAAGGGTAGAAATGAGTTAACGATTAAGATAAGTGGAAGGAAGAAGGGGATGACGAAGAGAAGGAAAAGGAAAGGAGAAGAAAAGACCATGCAAAATTAGTTGAGGCGAGGGCTGAGGGTCAAGTTCCCTTACACGGGGCCTCAGTCTCGTCCCCCAAGGCTCCCATAACGACAACGAGCAAGGGACTGGTGGGGTTCGTACTACTAAGTGTAAAATAAATGCAATAGAAGTCCCTCCGTTGCTTCATCCTGTTCAAAAATTTATCTGATTCTTACGCAAAACGAGTTTCTTAAAGCATACTAAAAAAAAAATATATATATATATTGGTTACTGCACGGGGTGTCACTTCATGGTATCCAAGCTTAGATATGGTAGAAAAATCGAAATTGCAAAGATTAGAAATTAGATATGGGGCAACTCTCTTCTCATCTTTAATCTGTATTTCCAGATATCCACACTAGATTCTTGCATTTTATTCTCTTACTGTATTTGTTACTAGGAAATCAGTCATCTGTCATAATAATGTGGAATGCGTTCGATATTTAAGTAACGTAACATTAGTGGAAACGCATATTTTTTTATATGTATTAT